GAAAATAAATTAAATGTTAAGCATACACTGATGAAACATGCCATTTTCCTCTAGTTCTTTAATGCTTCCTCCCCGGCCCCCACTATTATGACCCCAATTCTACCTTACAAATCTGACTAGACCAGAGCATGTACACAGGTAGAGATAAGAGCTGGAAACACAGGGAATCCAGGACAGATAAACCCCTCAGGACCAATAATGAGAGTAGTAATACCACAAGGGCAAGGGGAAGGTGGGGGGAGAAAGGGAGAACCAATCACAATGATCTATCTACAACCCCCTCCCAGGGGGATATACAACAGAAAAGTGGGTGAAGGGAGACACTGTTCAGTGTAAGACATGAAAAATATATATACAGTGTTCATGAAGGAGAGAGGGGGAAAATGAGAAGCTGATACCAAGGGCTCAAGTAGAAAGAAAATGTTTTGAAAATTATGATGGCAACATATGTACAAATGTGCTTGACACAATGGATGGATGGTGATAAGAGCTGTACGAGCCCCCAATAAAATGATGTAAAAAAAACCATCTCTTAATCAATTTAAAACCAAAATCAAAACCTGAACAGACACTTCTGGAAAAAAAAAAAAAGGAAAAAATGTCAATGATAGGTGAAAAAACATGTTCACCATCATTGGTCCTCAGGCAAATGTTAAAGTCATCAATAGATACAACTATATATCCTCCCAAAGCCAAATGAGTAGCATTTATAAGGTTGACCACTTCTAAAGTTAGCAAGGGTGTGAAGCCACTCAAATACTCATACATTGCTCATGGTAATGGCACATGGTTCAACCACCTTGGAAAACAGTTTGGCATTTTCCTATACAGGTGAATATACAATTACCCTCAGACCCAGCCACCCCACCCACCCCTAGATATTTATCCCACAGATGTGAAAACATAAACATACACAAAGACTTTCATTCAAATGTGCCTAGCACCTGTATTTATACACTCCAAACAAACCCATTGTTGTGGAGTAGATTCCAATTCAGAGTGCACAACCCAAAATGAAAACAACCAAGTCTATCAAAAGAATGAATAAACAATTGTGGTATATTCATACAGTGGAATTCTGCTAACCAAATGACAAATAGTCTCAATATAGTCTCAAATTTATTATGTTGAGCAAAAGAAGCTTGACCAAAGGAATCATAATGCATGATTCCAGTTCTAGGACAGACAAAACTCATGAAAGAAATCAGAGCAGTGATTGATTGTCTAGGGAGGTAATTATTGAGAAGTGGCACAAAGAACGTTCTGGGATGTTATGAACATAGCATATCTTGATGGGACATACGAGGGGTACCTCCCCCCCAAACTGTATGTGATATGTGGAGGATAGTGCGTTTGGAGTTTGTTTCACCAGGTCAGACTGTTAATCTAGCTTTCTATTTAGAGGTTCTGAAAAGATTGCATAATGACTTATACTAGGGGCTTAAGTGGAAAGCAAATGTTTTGAGAATGATGAGGGCAACAAATGTACAAATGTCCTTGACACAATGTATGTATGTATGGATTGTGATAAGAGTTGTACGAACCCCCAATAAAGTGATTAAAAAAAAAAGATTGCATAACGGTGTGCAACAAAAAAAGCCTGATTTTTGGCAAATGGGACTGGTTTAGCCACCACAACAATGCACCTGCTCACACAGCCATCTCAGTGTGCCAGTTTTGGGTAAGAAAACAGCATGCTTCTCTTGCCCCACACACCTTACTCACCTGACCTCACTCCACGCAACTTCTTTTTGTTTCTGTGAATAATGAGGGACATGAAAGGACAGCAATTTGATGACTAGGGAAGTGTTGAAGAAAAAACAAAAAACGAGGCAGGTGCATCAGTCATCCAAACAGATGAATTTGAAAAATGTGTTCAAGAATGGAATCGCAGATTTGACAAATGTATTAAGTATAATGGAGAATAGCGTGAAGGTGATAAGGTTGTTTTGTAAAAAAATTTCAATACATAGCATTGGGAAGGAAAACATAACCTGTTTTAGGGGGGTACCCCCTTGTATATCTAAGATTCTGGCATTCCACTTTGTATAAATTATACATCACTTATAAACAATATTTTTAGTGCTACATGAAAAAACAATAATTGGCTGACAGTCCTTTAAAGTGCCAGAATTATGTCTCTGAATGTGTACATTGGTATTGTGGGAGGGACCAAAATGAAGTTCAGTGGGCTTGTAGAAAGAAGCATGACCAAAGATGGTCACCTACAATGCTGTCAAACAGTACACTGTGACCCACTAAACTCCAATTTAGTGAGCTGCAACCAGCATTTGATTTTAATGAAAGAACTGAAAACAGTGTTGGATTGGAAGAGAATAAAAATAGTGGCATGTCACAGAGTAAGGCCAATAATTGTCTTGTGAGCCTTATCTATGAAAGCTCTGAGTTAAGATGTGAAATTCATTCCTTACTGTGGGTTGTGGTAAAAATGTTTGAAAACCATACTCAAGTACTTTAAAAAAAAAGTTTCTGGGTAACTGTTGATTATTGCTTTAACCTCCTAGGAGTATGCTGCCACCAGGTGGAGGTCACATGCCACAACTACAAGATCTTAGCCAGGGGCTATTAACCTTTTGAGTGCCATGGATCCCTTTGGCAAGCTATGAATCTGATGAACCCTACTCAGAATTTTTTTTTAAATTTTATCTTTTTTAATCATTTTATTAGGGGCTCATTCGACTCATCACAATCCATACATACATCAATTGTGTAAAGCACATCTGTACATTCATTGCCCTCGTCATTCTCAAAACATTTGCTCTCCACTTAAGCCCCAGGCATCAGGTTCTCATTTTTACCCCTCCATGCCCCCTCCACCCTCCCTCATGAGCCCTTGATAATTTATAAATTATTATTTTGTCATACCTTGCCCTGTCCGATGTCTCCCTTCACCCACTTTTCTGTTGTCCGTCCTACAGGGAGGAGGTCACATATAGATCCTTGTAATCGGTTCGTTCTTTCCAACCCACTCTCCCTCTACCCTCCCAGTATTGCCACTCACACCACTGGTCCTGAAGGGATCATCCACCCTGGATTCCCTGTGTTTCCAGTTCCTATCTGTACTAGT